TGGCTCTAAGGCTGGGACTCCTGGGTTCTTGGTTTCTGGGGAAACAAGTCGTAGGTCCAGTGAGTTGGGGGGACATCCGAGTCCTGGGGCAAGGACTTCTAGGGCCTGGGGGATCAGAACTACTTCATTCTAAAAGGGATGGCTTCCCAGATTGGGTGGACTGAAAGGTCTTGGTTCTAGAGGGTGAGAAACCTATGGGCTGGGATAAGAGTTCTGTGTTCCAGAGCCAGACTTTCATTTTGGATGGGGGACTTTGGGTTTCTGAGGACATAAATTTCTGTACCCTGTAAGTCCTTTCAAGAACATGTTGGTCAGGACAACAAATAGCAACTCAAACACTGATAGGCATTATGGGCAGATTCCTAGCCCTGTGGCAGAGCCCTCCAGAACCCATGTTTCTTACCTAGGGATCCAAGAATACTCAGAACCAAGACTGGGTTCCTAGTCTCCAGCTTGACCCACTCTCTTCCCAACATCTGGCATGTCAAGCCAGGTGTGGTGGTTCACACCTGTAATCCTAGTGACTAGGGAGATTGAGGCAGGAGGATTGCAAGTTTAAGGCCAGCGTCAGCAACCTTGTGAGACCAAGTTTCAAAAAATAGCTCAGTGATAAATCCCCTGGGTTCAATCCCCAGTATCACACCCCCGCCAAAAAAAGAAAGAAAAAGAATCTGGCATTTCAGACTCTGGGCAACAATGTCCACCACAGGTGGGACACTGGTCAGCTGCACCATTGACCTACTTGTCACCTACACCTTGGGATCCACGTGGTACTGTGTCGAGAGCCACCTGTGGGCTGTGTGTGTCATAGACATCTTGTGCATTGAAGCCTAATGAATAGGAAAATCTGGGAAGTGCCAGTGGACAGTTCCTCTGGTTGACTGCCCAGACACATTGTGAGCCCTATTCAGGTTCAAAGGTCCAAAGGTCCCACACAGCACTGGAGATGGGGTGACCTGCTGTAGCTGCACAGCCCCTCTGAGATGGGTGTGACCTACCAACATGCCAATCAACCTGCTGACTGCAAGACCTCAGGAAGCAAGACTCCACCCCTGAAACCTATCCCTGCCTTTGATATACCCCTTAAATAAACCGCAGGAGCCTTGTGCAAGCTGGGGGTGCAGCTGGGCATCTTCCACACAGCCTGCTGCTAAAGCCCTTCTTCCAGGCTTGTGTAGAGGCATGGGCATGCCTGCCTGGACCACCAAGAGACCAGGCTTTGCTCTCTTCCTGCCTGTGACCTTGTGCGGCAGCAGCCAGACAGCTGGTAGCAGGGAACACCCTGGAGGGTGGCAGGCTTCCATTGTGAGTCTTCTACCCAAGGTTGTCCAGAGCCAGAGTGAGCGGGGACATGAAGCCTTTAGTCATCCACAGGTATCAGTTGAGGACCTACTAAGTGCTGTTCCCAATGCTGAGGACAGCACCAAACAAGAGGAATTCTGTGTATATTCTCATGGAAAGGACAGATTTCATTTGAGTTCTTAGCTAACACAGGGCACTGTGTGGGAGGAGTGTGGAGACCAAGAGAGGGAGGAGTAAAGTAGCGGGGTGGGCATGGGGAGACAGGGGGTCTTCAGGACAGGGGGCGAGATCTGGAGGCCTCTGTGGTCCCTGGGGACGGGGGATGGGGTGGCAGTTTGTACAGAGCCAGGGAAGAGGCGGGAGGGATATTGGGTGCTCTTTTAAGGCAGTAGTTCTCAAAGTTTCTCAGCAGCCCCAGCAATAACCAGAGTTTGTTAAAAATGCAAATTCTTGGGGTTGGAGGTTTTTAGCTCAGTGGTGAAGTACATGGGTGAGGCCCTGGTCCAATCCCCAGCAGGGGTTGGGGTGAGGGTGATGTAAACCCTTGCCCTACCCCAAACACACTGAATCAGAAACTCTGGAATGGAGCCCAGCCATCTAGGTTTAACAAACTCTCTAGGAATTTCTGGAGCAAGGCCAGACCTGAGAGCCTCTGTTCTACCTCCTTTAATTTAGCTCACTCTGTCATCAAACTGCTCTATGACAGGGCAGGATGTTGAGCACTTGTCTAAAATGCACAAGATCCTGAGTTTTACCCCCAGTACTGCAAAAACTCCAACAAAAGTTACTCCACAAGATAGCAACAATTGTCTGACTTCTACAGTTGAGGAAACTGAGGTGCAGAGAAGCTAAGCAACTCCCCCATATCCCACAGCTAGTAACTGGCCTTTCGGCTGATCCCACAATCCTGACTCTGACTCATTGTGCTACAGCACCTCTACGTAAGGTAAGAAAAGTCCCAATGATGGCATAAAAAGACGCCTGCCACTGAGGAGGCTGAGGCAAGAGGATCACAAGTTAGAGGCTAACCTCAGTAACTTAGCAAGAGCCTGTCTCAAAATTAGAAAAATAAATAAAAAAGACAGGGAATACAGCTCAGTGGTAAAGTGCCTCTAGGTTCAATCCCCAATACCAAATATAAATAAATAGATAGATAGATAGATAGATAGATAGATAGATAGATAGATAGAGCTGATCTTTTTATTTATTGTTTATTTTTTCGTTGTTCATGGATCTTTATTTTATTTATTTATATGCAGTGCTGAGAATTGAACCGAGTGCCTCACACATGCTAGGCAAGTGCCCCACCACTGAGCCACAACCCCAGCCCATAAAGCCAGTCTTTACTGCTAAGCCCTCTCCTACTTCAATTAGCTCTCCCATCAGCCCCACTAGGCAAGTACATTTTACAGATGAGGGAAACCAAGGCACAGATGGCTAAGGAATCTGCCCAAAGTTACACATCCAAAATATGGCTCAGCTGGATCTAAACAATTACTCATTTTCTTAAAAATAGAATCTCACCAACTCTGAGTCTCTGTGTCCACTTGTCTCTTTCATGCCCCTCCTGAACTCTCAGCCCCGCATTGACTTACTCTTTTGTGTCTGTGTCCTCCCCTCCCCACCACCCAACCCCTCCCTGCCTCTAGGTTCATGCTCCTGGGGACATCTGTTTGTCTTGTCTTACTATGTATATGGATGACCTCTATATGTACATTTTGTCCAGCTCTGACCCAGTCAAATGGCTATTTAGCACAGGCAGGGTGCGTTTTTGTGTGTGTGTGTGGCACTAGGGACTGAATCCTTGTACCTTGAGGTTGTCCCCAACCCTCTCATTATATTGTTTTACTTTGAGAGGGGTCTCACTAAATTGCCCAGGCTCACCTTGAACTTACAATCCTCCTGCCTCAGCCTCTTGAGTAGCTGGGATTATAGGTGAGTGCCACCATCTGGATTGGGCAGGGGGTTTTTTTATGTATGTAGCTGTATTTTATAATTTTTTGCATGTTATAGTTACAGACCAAGCTCTTGGCTGCCCTTCTGAAGTTGTACCTGGTAAAACAGGTTAAACCAACAGAGCGTTTACAAAAGGACATGGAGTAACCACAGTCTTGCAGGGTTTTGTTTTTGTTTTGTTTTGAGGGGCAAACTGGTTTTTTGTTTTTGTTTTTTGCTTGCAGTGCTGAGGATCCTACACCCCAGCCCTCAGGCAATACTTCTTTTTTTGGTACTTCGGATTTTGAACCCAGGGGCACTTTACCACTGAGCCCCTACATCTTAGTCCTTTTCATTTCTTATTTTGAGACAGGGTCTCACTAAGTCACTTAGCACCTAGCTAAATTGCTGAGGCTGACCTCGAACTTGCAATTCTCCTGCCTCAGGCTCCAGAGCAACTGAGATTATAAGCATGCTGCCACTGTGCCCAGCAAATAATTTTTTATTATTCTTTGTTTGTTTATGGCGCTGGGAATTGAACCCTGGGCTTTACACATACTAGGCAAGCATTCTACCAAATGAGCTATGTCCTCAGCCCTCAGGCAACACTCTTAATGGCAGTGTCAGATTCAAAGAGTGGAAGAAAAAAGGTTTTGGAGCACATACAACTGCAAAGACTAAAGGGGCATTTCTACCTTCAGGCTTAGCTAGATATCGGGAATTCATCTCTCTCTCTCTCTCTCTCTCTCTCTCTCTCTCTCTCTCTCTCATTTGTTTGTGCTGGATTGGAACTTTTCCAATGAGTTATATCCTCTGTCTTCTTCTTCTTCTTCTTCTGTATCTCTTCTTCTTTGTCTTGCTTTTGCTTGTCCCTTTTTTCCCCCGCCCCCCCCCCTTAGTTAGCTTTATTATTTATTTGGAACAGAGTTTCCCTAAATGGCAGGGGATAGCCTCCAACTTTCTTTTTTTTTTTTTCCACTGAAGCAAAAGAAGAAAATTTATTGAAAATCGAGGAAAATAAAAAAAAATAGCCTCAAACAAGTAACAAAGCAAAGACGAAAAGGAAATAAGAGGAAAAGATATCTAAATTAAGACAAAGCTCCAAATTATTTCAAAATGATGAAATTGTATTGGATACGGAATCTAAAAGATTCAGGTGAGGGACGGGGATCTGATGTGGGTGTGGCTGTCAGCAGAGGACTGTGGGAAAATCCTAGTGGGAGAGCAGAGGTCCTTCGTTCCTGGAGATGCAGGCAGCCGCTAAGCTGGGCTGTAGACCAAGATCCCCATAAATGAGGATCCTTGGGCTGTAGACTAGGGACAGGGGCAGCATCAAGGGAAGGAAGTGCACCCAGGAACACCCATTCCACTCCTAGACTGGAGACCCAGACACTCCCAGGTGACTCAAATGTCAGGTGAGGATAACAGTTAGATGGAATAGTGGCCAGAGTGAGGACTTGTGGGACCTGTGGGATGGGGCAGGTGCAGAACCCCCATCCACTCAGAAATATCCTGGACCTAATTTGTGTGCGCCTTCAAGGTCTCCTTCCTCAGGCTCTGCAGTGGAGAGTCTCTTCAAGGCGGCTTCTAGTTCCTCATCCTCTTCCCTGAGGGGCCACGCACTCTCCTGGGCACCGCCCTGGAGGTTCCCACAGGCCTGGGCCTGAATGGAGAGCCTTCTGGATCTTGTGGGGCTGGGGTAGTGGACATCTTTCAGGATGCGCATGTACAACAGAAGCTAGACCAGGACGAGCCTGCCCAAGTTGAGTGGGCCCACAGTGAGCGCGAGGGCCGCCCAAGGTGTCTTGCAAATGGCTGATAGCCTCGTTCAGGGTTCGGATATATCTTCTGTTGCACCCTAAACCAATTCTGCATCTGTTGCTCCTCTAGGCCGAGGCTGGAGGCCAGGGCCATCAGGGTACCGTCCTTCAGGAAGTCTGCCTCCAGCTCCTGCATCTGCTGCTTGCTGAGGATCAAAATAGACCAATCCGAGGCCGATGGGTCCAGCATATTGTGAAGGCTTTCGATCTCATCCATGGCAATGGAGGCTCCATTCAGAAGAATGGAAGCCTCCAACTTTCCATCCTCGAGTCTCAGCCTCCTGGGTAGGAGAGATTACAGGTATGCCCCAACTCTGTTCAACTCTATTCTCAAACAGATTCTCCCCCCATGGTAGCAACAAGGCATCAATAATTTAGACTATATCCTACAGCTTCAAAGCCTAACACCATTTTCCCCAGTGGCAGCTTTCTGTAGGCTTTGTTGGCCAGTTATCGTGGCCTAGAGGAGAGACAAATAATCTGAAAGCCAGACTTGAGGCTTGTTAGCACCCCTAACAAGGAGGCTGGTGATGGAATCACCTAGGTCCACATATTGAAAGTAAGGATGGAGAGGCTGGGTGTGCAGCTCAGTGGTAGAGCAGTTTCCTGGTATGTGTGAAGCCTTGGATTTGTTCTTCACAACAGGAAAAAAAAAGGTAAGAATAGGCAGTTTTCCAGGTACAGGCTGGGCATGGTAGCAACTCTGGAGGCTGAGGCAGGAGGATCACAAGTTGCGGGGCAGCCTCAGCAACTTGGCAAGACCCTGTCTCAAAATAAAAATGGCTGGGGATGTGGTTCTGAGTTCAATCTCTGGTACCACAAAAAAAAAAAAAAAGAAAGGAAAGGAAAGAAGGTACAGGTTATTATTAGAAGGGTATGGAAGCCCTGCATGGGGTTGCATGCCTATAATTCCAGAGACTTGGGAGGCTGAGGAAAAAGGATCAAAGTTTGAGGCCAGATTCAACAATTTAATGAAGCTCTCAGCAACTAAGCAAGAGCCTATTTCAAAATTTAAAAGACTGGGGAATGTACAACCACAAGAATGGGATCCTAATTAGAAAAAAAATTATACTCCATGTATGTATAATATGTTAAAAACATCCGATTATCATGTATATCTAAAAAGAACAATCAAAATTTTAATTAAAAAAGACTATGGATATAGTTCCATGGTCAAGCACCCCTGGGATCCATCTGGGTTTGGAAAACAAAAATAGGCATCACTGCTAGAGGCCAGAGACAGACCCCCACCGACCTTTGGGGGTGGGCAGGGCAACTTGGTTCACATGGAGGCCAACCCCTTCAGCAGAGGCTGGGGATGAGGTAACAAGACCTCAAAGAAGACAAAGAGAGGGGAAGCCATGCTGGTCATATCCTGGGCACATTATAGTAGTTGGCGCCCTGTGTCCCTGTAGACCTCCATTCCCGCTGCCTCAATGGCCCGCACATTCCCTGAGAGCATTCTCCTGGGTCTCTGGGAGAGTCACACTTGTGTGGACCTACTTGGCCTCCAAAGCCATACTCTTCCTCTCCCTGTACCTTCCAGTGGCACCTCACCATCCACCCTTCCTCCATGCCCAGGCCAGACTCCCTCATCAAGGACTTCTCCTGTCCCCTGCAGGGAGAGAGGGTGACCTGTGATCCTTTAGCTACCCTAACGGGGGAGCTTGTGGCATCTCAGATGGAATTATTCTAGGCTCTTAATTGTGAGGTGACCAGGGATGGAGTCCAAGGAGTCAGAGGTGGGGTCATGACTTCTAGACCCTGGGAAGGGGGGTGGGGGCCTTGCCTTTTGGGTCTGAAGGAAGAGAGGTCTGGGGACCCCGAGTCATGGGTTCCTGACTTTCTCTCTCCCCTACAGCATCCTCAACCCTGGCCCTGAGTCCTGTAGCCCCGCCACTGGTCACCCCAGTATGGCCCCATGACCCTGGTTACTCTCACTTTGTCCCATGTGGATCCCATGCCCAGCCCCTTGGCCCCAGCAGCTGCAACCACTGTTCCCTACCTTCAGCTCCCTGCCTGGATACCTGCTCCTGAAGGCCACTGTGGCCTGGCACCCACGGTCCTGCTTCCTCATCAAGGTGCACTTTCTGGACAGACAGATGTACTAGGCCCTGCCACTGCCTGGAAAGACCCTGATACCAGGATGTCCTGGTGCTGTTCCAACAAGTGCTGAGGTGGTTGTAAGACCTCCACAGGTGGCTGGCACTGCTGCCCATTGACCCAGTCCTTGTCTAGTCCCATTGTCCTGGAGGAACCACTGGGCTACACTGCCACTGGAGACTTCCACTTATACACACTTAGAGGGGCCCTTGGGAGTTTCTCAGCTCCTACATCTACCAAAGGGTGATTCTCAGGGGCATAGCCCATGCCAACCTCAAGCCCATCAGCCTGATTGATCACACCCTACTTCTGCAGCCATGTAGCTGCACCAAGGCTTTGACCCTCTCAGTCTGTGACCTGACCTGACCCCATGAGCCTGAAGGGCCTCAACTACATCCAGGTGAGGCTCCTAAAGACTCCACCTTATTCCCACTATTCCAGGCAACCTATAGTTAACTTTTTATTAACTTTCCCATTGGATCTCAAAATGCCGACTCCATTTTCCTACTGACCCTGTGTATTCCCCACCAATAGCAATTGACCCCCCTCTCAAATTGTTGGTTGATCCCTCCCCATCAACTCCCCACTTGCCATTATTAAGCACCACGGAGACTCCAATTACCCTTCCATTGACTCTCCATTGAGTCCTCAGTGATCTTCCTATTAACTCCCTAACAGCATCCCCTTGACCCACGGGCACCCCACAGATCTCCCCACTGCCCCTCCCTTTCTTTGGACATTCCACTAATCCATTGAGTCATCCACTGCTCCCCAACTGATCCTTCCACTCTTAAATTGACTTGCCCATTAACCCTATCCACTGTCCTTTTGAGCCACCTTCCCCCATTGATCTGAACCCAGCAGTCTGTTGACCTTCCCAGTGATCCATTAACCAGTCCATTAATGTCCATAATTACCTTCCCATGTGAACTTCTTATGAATATCCACTATTCCATTGAATTCTCAAGCCATTTAATTATCCTAATTGAGTCTCTCTTTGACCCATTTTCTCACCCATTGAACTTTCCAAAGAGTATCCCATTAACACCTGCTGATGCCACCCGACTTACTTTCCAGCAGAGCCTTCCCACTCCATTGCCACTCAAAACCACCAAGACTGGATCCGCAGTGATATGTGAACACAGCCACCATTTCTTCATTTTCCACCTTCTTGATCTTTCTATGGCTCCCCCAATGACCCTTACTCACTTGGCTATTCTCTCATTACCCATCATTGAACTCCGAGAGATCCTCATTTATTCTGATCACTCTACCATTGAATCCTTAACTGAATCCTTCACTGACCCTCCACTGAGGCGCCTCTTGACTAGACCAGAGAATTACAAGTTATTTTTGCTAAAGGCACCGACTCTTCATGAGGGTCTGACGGTGCTCAATGGTAACTAAAAGCAGGATAAAGCCAGGCATCTCTGCTTAATTTTGTATCTTTATTCAGATTCCTGCTCAGCTCTGCATATAGGCAGGTTATTCACTTTCTGCCCGCACAAGGAGATCTCTCCAGAGGCACAAGAGACCTCTACTTGGACCTTTCAGACTCACACAAAAGAACTTGAGGGCACATCAGATTTCAGCAAAGAGGAAGAATTTTAACAGCAAGTGAAAGGTAAAGATATTCACTCTCAGAGCCGAAGGTGGGCTATCTCAAGAGTGAGAAGCATTATGGGGGTCTTGGGCTCTTTATTTTTTTTTAGTACTGAACCCAGGGGTACTCTACCACTGAGCTATATCCACTGCCCCCTTTTTATTTTTGAGATGGGCTCTTGTTAAATTGCCAAGGCTGGCCTTGAACTTACAATCCTCCTGCCTCAGCCTCCCGAGTCTCTGGGATTACAGGTATGTGCTACCTTGCCTGCCATGGGAGCTTCTTTTAAAGGAAACTTTGTGAGGGATCGACATGGTAATGTATATGAGAATGATGACAGTTCAGTGAGTTCAGTTCTTTGATCATGGATCACAAGACCTTTATGATGGCCTCATCTTCTTCCAGAATCTTCAGGTTGACATTTTCTCTTCCATAATGTTTAGAATGTGCCTATATAATAGATGTCTTAAAATACATCTCTCTTTGCTTTATCTAATCTGAAAATACCTGTGTAGGCTAACACTGCACTTAACCTTTAATCAAAATGAGGCAATTTTCACAGATGAGTGAATTTACAGTAACTGTAACATTTGTAGATTTCTCAGAAATTTGAGAGTGACATGCCTGGAGGTAAAAACAGGGCTGGAGAGTATGTCTAATCATGTGGCTTTAGATTGATGGCTACAGTCTCTTTTTCCTTCCCTTTTGTCTCATTTCTACCTCTTTATTTCTTCTATCCTAATCATGTTCATCTACATCCAATCTTGTCCCCCCTCAAGGCTGAAGACACCAAGATAAGAGTAAGTAAGTTATTTTCGTGATTTTCAGGGCATTCCTTGGCTGCAGTAATGAACATCTGCAGTCCTAGTGACTCAGGACACCTAGGCAAGAGGGTTGAAAGTTCGAGGCCAGCTTGGGCAACTTAGCAAAACCCTGTCTAAAAAAATAAAATAAAAAATGGCTGTGGATATAGCTCAGTAGTAGAGTGCCCTTGGCAGTATCTGCAGACACACACACACACACACACACACTTGCAGGAACATTCAAGCTTTTATAGCCTCCTGTTGTATACCCCTAGAGGAGTCCCTAGAAGACTCTAGTCATTTCCCTAAACCTGCAGTCACCCTGGATTCCAGGAAGAGCACAGCCTCACAGATAGATCACCCCATGATGAATCTGCCCACGCTAAGTAATCACCTCATGGGAACTGAATTTCCCCTTCCATGATCTCAATGTTAGGTAACAGACAGATGTGGGTGGTGGGAACATGAGGTTAAGGGGATAATTCTATTAATTGGGCCCACTATGCTGACCCTCAGAGGCTTTTTTCTCCAAGAAGCAATTTACCCACAGCCCTTCCTGGCTTAAGTGGACAGGATATATTACATTCCTCAGCAAACAATCTGTTATCTGTAGGATAAATGCAGGCACCAAAAGGTTTCCTCCCTGCCAATAAGAAAAACACGAATTACCCTAAAGGAGAAATTTTTGTGATCCTTATATTGATCAGATCCCAGAACTATGGGAAATAGGATAATCCCCCAATCATAAAATCTATAAGAACAAAGTCCTATTAAAACTGGTCGGCATGGGCCAAAGTGAGCCAGAGTTGCCTTGGATCTTTAGCATGTCATTACAACAGTCAGATTTCGCCCCCGTGGGGTACAACCATGCAGAGTAGGGAGTTGGAAATCTGATGCGATCCTGCTGTCAGTCAAAAATCAAGAAATGGTCCTGCATGGGAGTCTCTGGAAACTTCCTTGGCACCCCCAGTAAAACTGGAGTTCAGGAGGGGTGCACCACCTTCTCCTCTCTGAGAACCCACTCTCTCCTTTAAGAGTGTCCCCTTTTTCTCTTGTCCTATAATTTCTAATAAACTCATGCCTATATTCTGAGTGACATGTCTGAAAACTTTACAGTGTGACTGCAAGAACTGGTAACTGAGGACGCTGTGGGTGCATCGCCTCCGCAACACCAGGACGGACAGAAAGTCATCCTGAGCTGAAAATGATCTGACTGAGATGAGGCAGAACATCACGGTGGAAGACATCAGTGGTGGAGGAAAGCCACAAAGATCATGGCGGTCAGGAAAGAGAAAGAGGAGGAGGGAAAAAAAGAAGAAGAAAAGGAGGAGGAGAAGGAAGAGGAGGACGAAGAGAAAAGAGAGAAAGGGGCTGGGAGACAAGAAATGCCCTTCCAGGGCAAGCCCCCAGGGACCTATTTCCTTCAACCAGCCCCACCACCTACAATTTCCACCACCTTTTAGTAGTTCATTAGGCTATAAGTGGATTAATCCACTGATGAGAGCAGAGCCCTTATGATTCAATCATTTCCTAAAAGACCCACCTCTGAATAATGCTGCATTGGAGACCAAGGCTTTAACACACATGAAACTTTAGGAGATATTCTAAATCTAAACCATAAGAATCACTCCGGTGATAAGGGCTTCTCCAGCCACTTTACAGAACCAAACTGAGATAATGGTCAACCAAACCACAGATTAACCAAGACTGTTCAATTATGCATGTCTCTGTACCAATTATTCCTCTATTTATTTATTTATTTATTTCACATCAATGCTGCAAAGACAGGACTGAGACTCTTGATCTGTTTCCCTGTACAGCCCTGTTGATTAAAATTTCTTTCCGGCCTTTTTATTCTTTCCTTTGTACTAGAGATTGAACCACCCAGGGGCACTTCATCATTGGGCTACCCTTTTTTTACTTTATTTGGAGACAGGGTCTCTGGTAAGTTGTCCAGACTGGCCAAGAACTTGAGATCTGCTGGGTGCAATGGTGCACGCCTGTAATCCCAGAATCTTGGGAGGCTGAGGCAGGAGGATCGCGAGTTCAAAGCCAGCCTCAGCAAAAAGTAAAGTGCTAAGCCACTCAGTGAGACCCTGTCTCTAAATAAAATACAAAATAGGGATGGGGATGTGGCTCCATGGTAGAGTGCCCCTGAGTGCAATCCCCAGTACCCCCCAACACACACACACAAAAAAAGAACTTGAGATCCTCCTGCTTCAGCCTCCCCAGTTGCTGGGATTACAGTCTTGCCAGCCACAACTGGCTTCCTTTCCCGCTTTTCACTGTTACTTTCTCCGTTTGAGTTTTTGGATAAGTGGCAAGACCTAATTTGTTGGGACCCTCAGAGTCCTGCTTCTGGCCTAGGACTTGGGTAACATGACCTTCCACGGAATCCTCTTATGACACTTAATGACTACCCCTATTAACCAACCTCTATGTTCTCCTTGATCCCTCTCTGGCTCTTTCTGCTGACCCACCACTACTCTGTAACCGTCTCCTCCTGCTGTCTCCCCTCTGCGCATCCTTCCTGTAGGTGGTCAGAATTCAGGAATTGCTGTCTTTCTCTCATGGCAGCTGCCTCTGCACTACCTTCAGAGCCACCAGCTCTGTGTGGAAACAGACCTCTCCTGACCAGGACTGGAGCAGCCTGGTGCCTGTGATGAGCTGCCAGGGCTCTGTGGACCCTACCTATATGATCTCTGCAGCCCCAGTGGCTCCAGCAGGCCCTTGCGTTTGCTGGACTGCAGCCTGGTCTGGGAAGGCCTCTTGTGGACCCTGCTTCAGCTCAGGTGCCCACCTGCCAGGGAAGTGCACTGCGGGCTGCTGGCACTTCCCAAGCTATGCAGTGCTGGACTCCCGCTAGACAATGTGTATGGCAAAAAGGAACCATCTACCCTGTTTTGCCAAGCCCTGAGCCTACACCTGTGGCTGAGAAGGACCCCTGACTTCTGTCTAGAATGCCCAGGCAGTTGGAGAGAGATCGGAAGAGTCGCTAAGCCACCAGGTGCTGATGCAGCAAACCCAAGGGAAGCAGTTCCCTCTGGGTTGGAGGAAACTGACCAGGCAGAGTGGGCCACGGAAAGGAGCAGCCCTACCTGGTGAGGCTGCGGCTTCATTAACTAAGTCTTTCTGTCTTTTGCGCCTCATTTCGTCACTCTGTGTCTACCCACCAGCCCCAGCCCACTCACCATCATGCCTCTGTCTGTCTGTCTCTGTCCCTTTCTGATTCTCCTCCCCCAGGCCCTTCTCTCAGTTCCCCCTCTCTTCCCAGAGTACCTCTGTGTTGCTCACCCCCGCATCCTCCGTCTCTGCTTCCCCCATCTGCCCATCAGCTTCTCGTGGGCGTACTTCCTTCTCTGTCCCCCACGGTGTCTCTCCATCTCTGTCTGGGCCAAGTTTCTGACCCTCCCCCTCAGCATGGCTGTGCTATAAGGGCTGCTCCTGGGACCTGGGCTTCTTGCTGAGCTGCGATGTCTGTGTGTGCGTGGCTGCCTGCCCGAGCTAAGGTACTGACCGCTGAGTACCATCTGGTACCTGGGCCTGGCTCCGTATGCTGCTGCTGCTGCGGCGCTGGGGTGGAGATGGAGCACGCTGACTGTGTGAATGCAGCCTCAGTGAAGGACAGAGTTGCTGCCAGCCGAGGGCCCCACGCTCACACTGCACCTGCCGGCACCTGTACTCCCATCCTTGGATCCTGTGCGCTACCTCGACTTGGGATGTTCAGGGACCCTGGCCTTTCAGGTTGATGTGGCCCACTGTGAGGCCAAACCAATCTGCACTTCAACTTCTTTGGACATCCAGCGACAGTTGGACTGCTCAGTGGTCAGTGTCATCATAGTAAGCACCCACTGGGCTACCCCCAGGCCCTGCCCCTCCCCTTCTGGAAACATCTCGGTTTCACCGTAAGTAAAATGGACGTGTGTGCCCCCTCAGGATTTTAAATGATGCAAGTATACAATCAGGTGGAAACTCCCTGGATATAATTAAGTGCTAAACAGTAGCTGTTGATACTATATTATGTCCACCATGTAGGATTGCAGAAAATCTGTCATTTGGGATTTTTTTCAGTAAATACTATTAGTGATAAGCACTTTTCTGGCATCATCTCACTTAATTCTCACAACTGTATCAGTCAACTAACACTGTAGAATAAACAACTGTAGAATCTTTTTTTTTTTTTTTCTGGTCCAGGGGATTGAACCCAGGGGCACTCTACTACTGGGTACATCTGCAGCCCTTTTTATTTATTATTTTGAGACAGGGTCTCCCTAAGTTGCTCAGGCTGGTCTCAAACTTGTGATCCTCCTGCCTCAGCCTCCTGAGTAGCTGGGATTACAACCTCTGAATCTTAGTGACTTACTCCAACCAGTTTTCTCACTCATATGTTTATGAGTTGATTGGCATTTAGCTGATCTTGGCCAGGGTCACAAAGCACTTACCACATATCCAGCTCTGTTCTAAGCCCTTTTAGTTATCTCATTTATTCTCCCAACAACCCGATGAAGTATATATTGTTTTCTTTCCATTTTACACACAAGTAAAGTTCAGAAAGGCTCTCTCTCCCCCAGTTCTCACAGCTCATTTGTGGCATGATGAGGACGGACATCCAGGTTGCAGAAGCGCTAGAAATAAGCTGCAGCTCCTCAGCCACAGTCCAAAATTCTTTCCTTCTCTGTAGGTGAATGGTGAGGGCTCCCAGGCTGTGGCTGCGTTTCATCAATATGTGGGGCAGCCAGATGCACCTGTCAGTACCTTCCACCTTCTGAGGCCAGCTAACAGGGCTTTATGAGAACTTTGGTGGCAATTTGGTCCATTTGACTTGCCTTTGGACACCAGGTCCAAAGTACTGGTCATTACTCCTATCTACTTCTCCAACCAGTCCACAGTGTTAGCATCAGCTGCACCATGAACTTTGTTCAGATCTTCATAGCTCCCAAACTGTGTGGACTTTTGAAGGTATCAGATGGCTCCTTTGACCATTACCTGGACCACATCAACCCCAAGCCCTTCCTTATTATATACCTACAAGAGAAGAGGTACCTTTGCCTCTGTGATGCCCTCACAGCCTGGCAGGAAGCTGGAATCCCCTGTGAATTCCTGGACAAGCCCTAAATCTTATGAGTTCTATGGTTGGGTCTGGGGTGTATCCAGAGCAGGTTATGGGTTTCCAGGAAGCACATCCTCCCCTGATAGGGGTCACTAGGTCATAACCTAGTATTATGATTTAGATATGAGGTATCCTCCAAAAGCTCATGTGTGAGACAATACAAGAAAGTTTAGAAGTGGAATAATTTGGTTATGAGAGCTTTAACCTAATCAGTGCACTGATCCACTTACAGTAGTAGTAACTCTAGACAGATAGGGTGTGATTGGAGGTGGATCTTTGGGGACATGCCTTTGGGATTTATGTTTTGCCCCTGATGAATGAGAGCACTTTCTGCTTCCTGGTGCTACTTCCTGAACTGCTTTCCTCCTCCACACTTTTCTGCCATGATGTTCTGCCTCACCTCAGGCCTGGAGCAACAGAGTCAGCTGTATATGGACCAAGATCTCTGAAATTGTGAGCCACAAAAAAAATTTATCCTCCTCTAAAATTGTTCTTGTCAGGTTTTTTTTGGTCACAGAAGCAAAAATAAAAACTTACTAAAATAAAAATTGGTACTGAGAGTGAGACCATTGCTGTGACTAACCTGACCAGGTGGTCCAGAAGCTTTTGGAGCTTTTTGGAATTTGTGGGAGGAATTTTGAAACATTTAGAGATGCAAGCTGGAAAAACGTTAGAATGTTGTAAGCAGAGCTTAATGGGAGATTCTGGTGGGAGTTGAAAAGACTAGAATGCTGATAAGACTGTGGACAGTAAAGAACAAGCTCATGAGGTTTCAGAGAAGGAGGACTCTATTGGAAAATGAACTAGAGGCCATTCATTTCGTGTTATGGATAAGAAGTTCTTACATTTTGCCCATTTCCGGAGACTTTGTGTGTGACTAAATTAAAGGTGACGTATAAATTAATCTGGCAGAAGAAATTTCAGGGCAGCGCAGCATTCAGACAGTGTGGCATGGATATTGATGGCAGCTTTTAGTCACATTTCCTATGATAATCAGAAGCAGAAAACAGAGCGAAAAGATTTGAAAACCTTGGAGTTCAGCCACAAAAGTTTGATGAAAACTGGGACAAAGGAAGTTGAGGCTGTTAAAAATTTTACAGTTTTCTAACTCACTAAAATGAGACTACATGCTTTACCCAGAGACAGTTTAGAAAGATGATTTGAGGGCATCTCAGGAATTGGCAAGACCACATACATCTTGCTATAAAATGGCTATAAAAATAAAGGCTATAAAAGTAAAAATTCCCTTGAGAATAGACCAGTGGGAACCCTGCTTGCACAGAGGGGTCTAGAAAGTTTTTTCACCATGCTCAGTCACCCAGGCACTCAGTACTGGGGATTAAACCAGGGGCACTCTACCACTCGGTTACATCTCCTGCACATTTCATTTTTTATTTTTAGACCATCTCATTAGGTTTCTGAGAATCTCACTAAGTTGCCCAGGCTGGCCTTGAACTTGTAATCCTCAGACTTGTCTCAGTCTCCCAAATTGCTGGGATTACAGGTATATGCCACCGACCTTGGCAGGGGTGCAATTTAAACAAAGAAGCTGAGGAAGTCAAGGAAATAATTTTGTTGCTATGTTATAATTGTGCCTTTAGAACAAACTGTAGTGAGAAAATAAGCCACATGGACTTGTAGTGCAGCCCCGTCCAGTAGACACAAATGCAATTTTAAATTTTTTTGTAATCACTAAAACAGTAAGAATAGGTGAAATTAATTTTAATAATTGATGTTCTA